GAAAAAAAAAAAAAAAAAAAAAAAAAAAAAAAAAAAAAAAAATTAAATTTTTTTTTTTTTTTTTTTTTTTTGATTATGTCATTTTCCAAACATGAATTGAACATCCATTTTCAAAAATTAAAACATGATGAACATTCCAACCGATAAGTGGCAGTGATAGGGTAATTTTTTTTTTCCTGCATATCAAACAAAATTTGAACAGAATTTTATTTTTAAAAATTTTTTTCATTTATTTATTTTTATAAATTCAAAAATTAAAAATTAATTAATTTTTTGTAATTAAAAATTTATTATTGGTGTGCACATATATTATATATTATATAATGAAAAAAAATCAATTTATACAAATCAAATCAAATGTGTGTGTGTGTGTGTTTTGATATAAAGGAAGAGAATAGAATATATAAAGTCAAATATATATAAATAATGATATAGGTATAGGTAGATTGTAGAGAAAGGATTGACAGCAAAAAAAAAATTGTATGGCCATTTTGCTAGGTTTTCCTGTTAATTACACAATAAAAAATTATTATTGTTGGCAAACATCAAGATATCAAGATATAAAAGATTGATGTGAATGAAGAAGAAAAAAGACATTCGATTAGCTCGATATTTGTAGGTTGTAATATATATTTAAAAAAAGGGGTAAATATAATTTGTAATATAGTGTGTCTTGTGTGTCTGTTGTGTTTTCACATCATTTTGTTCATTTAATAATACAAACTTTTTTCCAGAAAAATAATAATAATATTTATAAAAAAAAGAGGTTTGTGTTAAAATAGTTTGTGTATCACGTGTTTGTGTGTTAAGTGAAAAGAAAAACGGAAAACATTATGGTGGAACAAATGGTGGATAAGCATGTGTGTGGGTGGTGTGTGTGTGTGTGTTTTGGTTTTAAATATACCCGTATTTAGTTTGATATAAGCGAATTATGTTGAACGAAAAAAAATAAGTGAAAAGTGAGGAAATAGAAATTATTCTTTGTTTTTTTGATTCATTTTGATTCCAAATATTCTTTGATTCGAATCGTTTGTTCGATTGATAACACGATGAAGTGGTGGTGGTTGGTTGGTGGTGAAAAAGGATAACGAAAAAAAAGGACAAGACATTGAAATTGATGGATGCATAGCGAGCAAAATTTTGTGACCAGGTTAGAAAAAAAAATATTTTTTGACTAATTTGAATTTTGTTGATTTGATTGAAATTGGCTAGTTTGGTGTGTGTGTTTTGAATCATTTTTTTAAAAGAATTCAAATGAAATAATGGTCAGCAGAACAGCGGAAAAAATCATGATTAATTTTTGAGGTATTTTGGTCCCGGCAATAGGTGTGAGTGTTTTTTCAGTGATGTTTTCTATGTATGTGTGTGTGTGTGTGTGTGATTACCGATAAGCTCTTGCAGGATCTTGTTTTCGAGCCAAAAAAAAAAAAATTTAGAGAAAAACAGAAACAGAAAATTGTAACAAATAATTTACATCCAAAAAAAAAGAAGAAATTTAAGTAATGAAATTTGATTTAAAAAATAAAAATAAAACAAAAAACGAAAAAAATAAATAGAAACAAAGTAGCAAAAAGAAAGAAAATTACAAATCAAAATTGATCAATTGATGTGTGAATTGATTGATTGATATTCTTCGATATTGGGTTACACTAGAAAAAATTGAGGTAGCTATAATCATTGGTGTGTTTGGTGTGTGTGTTTGATATTCAAATTTTAATGATGAATTTTGCTTCGTTTAGTTGAACTAGAATTTGTACCGTTTTCTTTTTTTGGTGGTTGTTGTTCGTGTTGGACAACGAATGTTTTTGTTGTTGAAAAGTTTTTTGGACAACAAATTTTTTTTGTTTGGAAAAAAAAAATTGAATAACAAACACCAAATATATATGGACAACTACGAATGAATGAAACGAAATTCTGGTCAGAAAATAAATCTTATTTTTTTTGCAAAAAAAAAAATCAGTGTAGAGTGTGCATCATCATTATGAAGAATCGTCGTCGTCGTTTTTTGTACATATTCAGGTAATATTTCCATAATAATAATGATGTGATTTGAAACGAAAAGAAAGAAAGAAAAAACAAAATATAAAAAAAATAATGAACACAATTTGTAGCGAAAAAAAAGAAAGGTAAAAAAACTTGGGTTATTGGTCAACACACAAACAAACACGAAGAAGAAGAATTTGAATTTCAATAAAACAAAAATACGTTTATTGAATATCTGTTGTTGTTCATTGCTTCTTCTGGTCAAATTTGATTTTGTTTTTGTTTTTTTTGTTTTTCGTTTGATTTTTGGCTATAAAATTGCTGATGTTGTTGATGGTGGTGGTGGGGGACTTGTCTTGATTTCGGTAATTTTTTCTTCTTCATCATCATCATCATCCACATTATCATCATTTTTATCAATAAATGTTGTTGTTGTTGTTGAACTGAAAGGCACTGTTGATGCTGTTGACGATGTTGTGGTTGTGGTGGTCGTTTTGGATGATGTTCCATTTTTTATCTTCATAATTTTACTTAAAAATGGTGATAATGTTGTCGATGTCGATGATGTTGATGATGATAATAATTGATTCATTAACCCATTACTACTACTACTGTTGTTTGTTTGATGATTGTTGTTGTTGTTGTTGTTATTACTGAAATGGTGATTATTTGAACGTTTTAGACGTTTAAAATTATTATTACGACCATTGGTTGTAAAATCCTGATCATGATCATCATCAAAATCCTGATCAATAATATTCCGTCTTTCATTTTTGATTTTAACATCATCATCATCATCCATATCACCAATATTTTCTTCAATAACATCATCATCATCATCATCATCTTCATCTTCTTCAATTGGTTCTGGTTCTTCTGATTCTTCTGCATCTGATCTTGATCTTGATAAATCCAATACATTATCTTCATCAACAATTAATTCAACATTTGTATGGCTAATATTATTATTATGGCTATAAGCTCGTTGTTGTAATTTATTTAAATCAATTAACGATTGTTTACCAACAGTTGTTAAACTTGGTGAAATGGAAAGATTTAATGGTTGTATTTCATCATCATCATTATTATTATTATTTAAAAATATATCACTATTATTATCATTTTGTTGTAATATTCGTATCGTATGTCTTGGTTTACGTCTTGATTGTTTTGATGTTGGTTGTAAATTCTGATGTTGATGTTGATGATGATTATCATCATTATTATTGCCAACATTTACAAAATGATGTGCTGTCGGTGGTAAACTATGATTATTATTATTATTCGGTGATGATAACGGATGCGGATGTAATGGCGGTGGTTGTAACAATGGTAAATGTTGATAACGATTATGGCTTGTTGATGTTGATGATGTTGTTTTACTATGGCTAGAAGAGATATGTCTTAAATAACTGTTATTATTATTGGTCATTGAGTTATTGACAGCGGTTGTAGATGAAACCGCTGCCGTTGTTAATAATGGTAATTGTTGAGCAAGTAATTCATCAGCAGAACCAGGTCGACTTGATGATAATGAATTTGGACTGGCTGATTGATTATTTAGATGATCATGTAAAAGATGATGATTATTATTATTAAGATGATGATGATGATGATGTAATGATTGATGTGATAATTGATCATAAGCCCTTGGACGACGACCACGTCTTGGTCTACCAGTATTAGCTTCATCTTTAGGACACTTATGATGCATTAAATGATGACGACGACGAAAACGTCCCATACATTTATTACATTGAAATGGTTTTTCACCTTTATGTATTAACATATGTGCTTTAAGCTGATTAGAATCAGAAAATTTTGATGTACATAATTCACATGCATAAGGACGTTCACCAGTATGTACCCTTAAATGACGCCTTAAATTTGCTACTTGTACAAATTGTCTATCACAATGTGTACAATGATATGGCTTTTCACCGGTATGCAAACGCATATGTGTTTTTAAATGATGATCTCTAGTAAAACGTTTATGACATTCACGACATTCAAATGGTTTTTCACCAGTATGCGTTCGTTCATGATTCTGTAATACATGTTTATAACCAAAACTTCTATTACATATTTGACAAACAAATACTTTTTCACGTGTACCGGTAGTACTTGCAATAGAACCAGAACCAGGTGAATCTGCTTGACGTGGTTTTGTAATACCGGGAACTTTATTTGTTGTTGTTGTTGATGATGTTGTATTTACCGATAAACTTATTGATGATAATGGTGAACCAGCATTCGATGAATCTGAACTTGATGATTTATTTGATCTTGAACTATTATTATTATTATTATTATGATTTATAGCTTGTGATGATAATGCGGCAGCCATTATTTCTTGAAAAAGGCGATTATGTTCGGAACCAGCCGAAATCATTTCACTAATTAAACGATTATGTTCAGGGCTAGTAGTAGCCATCATTGATGATAATGCTAACGTATCGGATAATGAAATATTATTACAAATCTGAGCAATTTTATCGAATGTTGTTTTCGATTGATGATGTAATAATGTTGCAGGTGTAACCATTGATGAACATACTTGTTGTTGTTGTTGTTGTTGCTGTGATAATAATAATTGTTGTGCTGTTGTTGATGATCTTGGTGCCACAATGGCTGTTTGTGTTGTACCATTTCCATTTGTTGAACTGGTTACTTTTGATATTGATGGTGATGATGATGATGATGATGTTGATGATGAAGCCGGTGATGTTGATTGTTGTTGTTGTTGATGATGATGATGATGATGATGATGTAATTTTAACGTCGAAGATGAAGAAAGATGTTGATGTGAAGCCAGACGCTCCAAGAGATCATTCGTACTGGCACTAGTATCGCTTTCTTCTTTCATTCTTTTAGCATTACTTATAAATAATGATGATAATGGTGATGATATTGATAATGGCAGCAATGGTAACGATAATGATGATTGTCGTTGTACAAATAAACGATTATGATGTGTCCACATACAAATGAAAGAAAGAAAGAGCGAAAAAGAAAAACCCGAAAATCGACTATTTTAACATTGAATGAATTACAATGATGATGATGATGGATAAAGACAACGACAAGAATCTATTTGATTAATTAAGGATTAACAATGGTGGAAAAAAGGGAAAAAAACAAAAAAAGAAAAAACAAATAATTAGTAAATCGAACATTTGAACAACAAGAAGGAAAAATTTCAATACATTTTTTTGGCTGTTATGAATAGAATTTTTTTGAGCAAATTTTTTTCGAATGTTTTCTCTTGTTTTCGTTTCATTCATTGAAAAAGGATTATTTTAAGAAAGAAAATTAAGTGTTAAAAAAAATTTGAGGTAGTTGATTATTTTGAGGTAGTTGTTTGTGTTGAAATAGGAACTTTTTTCTTTTTAAAAAATCACATTTTTTTGAAAAAAATGATGATTGGAGGTAGATTTTTGATTGATTTTTCGAAATCGATAAAGAGAAATAAAGAGATCAATTTTGAATGAATGGATCAATGAGGTAGATATAGTTGTCGAATTATTATAAAAATAAATGATCAAACTGATTGCATTTTGGTGATTTTTTAAAATCTAAAAATTTGATGATGATACCCGTATTTGTAGAATAATTTTAAAGAATTAGAAAAATCAGATCATTGCTTATTGAGATTTGTTGTTGTTGTTGATTTCATCGATAAAAAGAATCGATAAATATTTTGATTTTCAATCAATGACTAAATGAGAAAAATAAGAGAGAGGTGGTTGAGAGAGATCACAGTATTTTGTCCATTTTTTGGACACTGGAAAAAGTTTTTTTTCGGTTCATTATTCACGGATGTCGTTACATGATGATGATGATGTTTGTGGCCAAAAACAAGAAAAAGAAACACGGATTGTTACTTCGGAACCATCACTTTTTTTTTTGATTTTGCTGATGATGATAAACCCAATCCAAATTAATTAATTTATCCACCAACTAAATCCACCCAACCAACCAACATTTATACATTTTTGTTTTGTTTTGTTTTTGGTGAACGCGGTTGCACCATGCATTCAAAAAAAAACTTTTTTTTTCCAAAATCACATCCAAATCAAAAAAACATGTGAAAAAACGCATCAATTATGAACACAGTATTGTCGATATAGTCGCGATGATGTGTGATAGCAGCGACCAGAATGGTCCATACACGATAACCAATGTTGATTATGATGATGATTGAATGAAAGAAACCGAAATTTGAAAAACAATTTTTCGACGACGACGAATTGTTGAATGATTGTGTCATAAACCGGCGGCCAAAAAAAGAAAAGAAAATTGAACCAAACTAAAAAAGAAACTAAACCAAACCAAAAAACACTCTCACTGGTGTGTGGTAGAGGACTGAATGATGATCATCATCAACTGAAACGATGATGATGATGATGACTGAGGGAAATTCTCTTTCATTTAGTTTTTTAGGTGGCGTTTAGATATAACAATTTTTTTTACGAGTAAAAAAAAATAGCAAGAGCCCAAGAGCTACGAGAGAGAGAGAGAGAGAGAGAGAGAGTATTGCATAAAAAATTATACTCTCTCTCTCTCTCTCTCTCTCTCTCTCTCTCTCTCTCGCGCTCGCTGTCTCTCGGGCTTTTTTTTTCTCTCGATCGATGTATGTATGTATGG